TGCAGGTACATCGAAGACGAAGCTGGAGCTATGACGCCACAGGTAAGTCTCCCTGGCCTCCGCCAACCATCTCTCTCGCTCCAACGCTACTCTAGCTCCTAATAGCGCCCTGCGCCGAAGACTACTGCTAACGCTACTACTACTACTACAGCGCTCCTCCAGAGTCCTGATGCCGAATCGTGAAGACTGTCTCCTGCCCCCTGCACGTGAAGTGCCTGGGAAGTCCCTATGAACTGCCTGCAGCTTGCAAGGCGGGCCAGTCTTATATAGTGCTGGCCCGTCCAGGACGCTGCTCTTGCCAATGCCAGAACGTGCCAGACCTTGGCGTTGAAGTTCAAATAAAGGTTGTCTTGAAAACAGGCCCAAAATGGCCTGTGCTAAAACCTTGGTTTGGTGCCTAAGTTTCAGGGCAGGTCGACTTTACGAGGGCCTGAAAATGACCCTCGTTTTCAGGCTTTTAGGCTAAAACGACACAGGGCATGTAGGCCCTCCTTTTCAGGCTTTTAGGTTGAAACGACGCAGGGCCTGTAGGCCCTCTTTTTCAGGCTTTTAGGCTGAAAGGACACAGGGCCTGTAGGCCCTTGTTTTCAGGCTCTTAGGCTGAACCGACAAGGGCCTGTAGGGCCCTGAATTTCCGTTTGGTCAGGCCCTGAATTTCCGTCTGGTCGGGCCCTGCAGGCCCTTGTGTATGCCACACTGTTACACTCCACTGCAGGCATTGCCGACTCTGCCACAATTACTACAATGCCATGGTTTTTGCACCTGCATATTCAGAGGGTTGTCCCTCCTTTCATGACTGCATGCACCTTTCGCATCCGGACATCACATGTCCATTTTGCGGCCAGCGACATTATAATCAATGCATGGCCTTCTCTGATGCCCGTTCTTCCTTCCTGTTGACCGCTAAGGTGCATACCTCGTGCTGTGTAATCGATGCAACGGCTTAATGCCAACCGTTGTGGCAATGGTCGGGCTAGAATGCTCAGCTAGGTCTTCCATGTCATGACCTACCTTATCCCTACCGTTCATCTCCTCTCTGTTGTCAAGCACAGACTGACTCCTGAGTCTTCTCTTATCCTTCCCTACGCTCTCATCTTCATTCCACACCCCTTACTTTCCCATTGTCTTCCTTCCATTTTTCGCTTTCTTTATCCCCTCTCCCTTTACTCTGCCTCATTCTCAGAGCGTGTAAGTGGGCCGTTATGGCACACGGGGATGTGGGCAGCTCACGCTCAACTATATCACCATGGCGAGTCTTGTACATGAGACGCACAATAAAGGGAGACCAAACAAAAGAAATAAAAGAGAAAACGTGAAAAACTGCCTGTGTTAAAATCCGGACCGCTTGGCGGCCTGCCCTTCGTCGGGTAGGGCTCCCGAGAGGCCCGGCCGGTTGGGTCCCCCGGTTGGCCGCCAGGCAGGCCCAACGCAATTTCATGCGCGTGGGGAGGGAGGCCTTTTTCGGCTAGTGGCGAGACCTCCCCAGCCGCCTAGTGCTTGAAAAAAAATAATTGTATTTCTAGGAAAGAGGGCAGGCCTTTTTGGCGACCGATCCCAGCCGCCGATCTGCGAAAATCGGCGGCTGGGATCAGTCGCCGAAAAAGGCCTTGTCCCATCCCCCCTGGCGGGCTACGCTCCCGCATTCGAATTCGAACGGGGGATTGTCCTCCCAGCCCACGAAGTTCGAAGCCCCGCCGTCATCATCGACCTGCCCGTCGCCATTGACCTGCCCCGTCGTCATTGAGTTGCCCCTGCCCCGTCGTCATCCAGGTGCCCGCCGCGTGTAACCGACCTCCTCCTCCTCCCCGCGAGGAGCTCCCATCGTGCTGCCCGTCGTCGA